GTTGGTCATAGAATGGCAACCAGAAATACCTCCGATTATCGAAAAATCAAAGAACATAAAAACAGCGAGAAAAAGAAAAGAAGAGATAGAAGGGCGAAGAGAGGGAAGATACAAGGACTCACCAGAACGTAAACGGAAGTTTTTCTTAAAAACTTGAAGTGATTCCTTCCCCTAGGATGTTCAGAAGCAAGGATAGGTCTGCTAGCCTTCAAACTCCGGTGAAAGATCGGGCAGTAGACAACGAAAGGAAAGGGATCTCCGACGAGGTTTCAGGCAAGGGCTCTCTGAAGAAGTTTAAAATGGCAAAATGAGAGAGGGAGAAAGGAAGCCCATTTATATAGTACCCATCCCCATCATTTGGGCACGAAGCACGAAGAGGCACATTTAATGCGCACGACCTCCTAAACAGGGGAAAGCGGCTAGAGGCAATATGAAGTAGTTGGGGTAGTTATAGAACCCTTCGTCTCCTTACGACGCGTGTCCTCGGTGTTAGAAGATCGAAGGCTGGGGGACAGTTGATGGGACATTTTTAGATACTCCAAGATGAAGACACGTGTCATCGGCATTAATATATTCTTGTTACTGTGATCACTACACGTACTCGTCGATTCATAAGTCCCTCTTCCCCCGAGGTACTATTCATAGGGATCAACGACACCCAGTACGTTATGTACCGACACGTATCCCTCGGTCGAATATGGGTACATTGGTTCCTACATGTACCATTCCCTCGGTACCGAGATATACCTGTCCAGGTTGGCGTTTTCTGCTCCTGCAAAGGCTATTGATGTATAAGTCACTAGCCTAGGCTAAGCTAAGTTAGCCATCATGACCTCGTCTTACACAATTGGTGTCAGAAGGCAGAAGACTCAACCAATGAGGAATGGGTGTGTGGCATATTGTGTCAAATCAGAGACAAAAAGACCGAGATGCCCTTGCTGACACACGACTTGGAAAAGCAAGCATTTAGTGCACCATTCCTTTGATGAGACAGTATTTAATGCATGAAGACTCGAAAATGAAAGGTAATAAATATTCCTTTGACTGGGCATTTATTACATCCCTGCCGAGAGAAGCTCATTAAACACTCGACAGACCGATGACGAAGCATTGGTTGCTCGGGGTCCCGAGCAGTTAAGAAAGAAGACATTCCTCATAGGAATCAGTGTGCACGTTGACCGTATCTAATGATCACCTACTGACCACACTGAAAGCAATCATGAATTTTTAAGGTATAAATACTCCTCATAAAAGGCAAGACGGTATGCAAAAAAACCTTTTCTAAAAGAGTTACAAAGTGTTTTCTCCTTCCCCTTTCTCAAAGAACTGACTTGATCTTCAGAGAGGATACGCCGAAAAACACTCCGACGCCCTCCTAACTCATTTTTCTCTGTTCCAGGAACCTCACTCAGCCTTACTGGACCGCTCCGTTGATCCACGAAAGTCACCCATTACCGTTCCAGGCTACCACCGGACCTCACACCTTTCCAAACAACAAGGCTGACCATTCGATCGACTGAATCATGTTCACCACGGGAGAGATCTGTTCTTGTGTGTATATTGTGTAAGATCCTGCACGCACATTAATAATTGAGATAATGAGAAACTAACCAAATAGTGGAGACTGTAATATGAAAAAAAATATGATAGTTAAGGGCACAATATACAAAAAAAGGTTAAAATTAAGAGATCAAAGTATAATTTTGCCAAAGTATAATTATTATTGAAGTTCAATTATGATATTAAAAACTTTTTTTGTTGACATATTCCCAACTAATAAAAATATGAAGCGTATAAAATTATTTTATTCTTTTGTTCTATTTTAATTTTCTAATGTTCATGATCAATGACCATTAATGAATCCACATAAGACTTATGCCCAAAACAATTTTCGAGTGGTCTCATCCTTATTTAAGGATGACAATTTTCACTAATTGTATGTCGACGTAAGGTGTGTAATGTGTGTTCATCCGAATACCTTAATTTAATTATGTTTTAATAAATTAACTCTAAATTTTAAATAATCACTTAATTTTTTTAATATTTATGTAAAAATATATAAATATTTTGGATTTGATCAGTTATAGGTATATCCAAACCCAAATTCGTGAAATATCAGATATCAGATTCAAGTTTAAATAATTGATAAAAAAATATCAATTTATATCTAATTAAATTAAATTTAAATTCGAATCAAAATTTGATTCATCCACAGTCAGACACGGATGTAACACATTAACCTCAACAATAGCCTAATGCAACAGTGCTATTGAGTCATACTTCAAAAATGTTTTTGTGCCTTGGCACGTTGTTAGCAATCATTATTTGAAAAAATCGCCTTCAAATCCAAAAAATTAGAAAAACATCTTGAACATCAGATGCAACACATTGGACCCCACTTGACAATTAGGATATGGCTTTCAAACCATAAATCCAGAGAGAGAGAGAGAGAGAGAGAGAGAGAGAGAGAGAGAATAGGGCTACTTTATAATATTGGCGGTCTGATCTTCACTGCTTCAATACAGGTAGAGGTACTACTCATTCGCTCCATCTCTACCTCTACGTACTTGCATGAATAGAGATAGAGTAATGTATGGTTTTCATATATGAGTTTATATACTAAAAAATTGGACCACTGGGTTTCCATTCTAGGCCATCCCTTTCTAGTAGGTGTTTTACTTTACTTGAATTTGATTTTCTCTAAATGGATATTTTGCTAATTCTGTTTTTTTTTTTTACTTCTATTTTTTTTCTACGTTTGCTGTTTTTTTTCTTACTTCTGTTGTTTTTTTTTTTTTCGCTTCTGCTTCTGTTATGTTTTTTTTTTTGCTTTTGTTTTTTTTTTTGTTTTTTACTTCTGTTTTTTTGTTTGCTTCTGCTTCTGTTGTTTTTTCTGCTTCTGATTTTCTATAGCTGATGATTCTAATTTTTTGTAATGCTATTTTGCTTAAAGTAATGCTAATTTTCTATAATGATGAATGCTGGTTTTCTCTAATCTTGATGCTGACTTTCTGTAATGCTAAATGTTGATTTTTTGTAATCCTGAATACTGATTTTCGGTAATGTTGATGGTTTCTTTAGCGATGAGGATTGATTTCTAAGTCCTTGAGATTTGTGGAGCATTGAATAAATATTTTGTTGCTTGAATTGTGTGTCTTATATTTTTAAATATTAGAATATTTGAATTTAAATATTTAAGTTATGACGGTTATTAAGATTTAAGATATTATTAGTGTTTGTTTTAAATGTTTATGGTTTTACTTGCATTTAAATATTTAATATATATAAAATTAGAACTGAGATGTTTAAAATAATTAATCTAAAATATTTATTTATTTTTAATTGTTCACTTCGCTTTGGTAAAGCATTTCGCTTCGATAAAACATTTCGCTTCGCTTCTCACTTCTTACCTAGGATTTAGGAGTCTTGGTGGTTTCAATTCGCTTTATACCTTAAATGACACTGATTTAAACCGATAAACAAGATCAAAACCATTGTAGTGTTCAAACCACTAATGTTCCATAAGAAAAGGTTGTTATACACAAGCGCATGGATGCCCATCGCTTTTACCATCACTTCAAGTGCTTGCCCTCCCCTTCTCCCTTCACAATTCAACCAACAAGTTAACTTCTTAAGCTTTTCTCAAGCTTTTTCTCCTCCTTTTTTTGATTCTCTAGTATTATAAGACAACCTTCTCCAGATCTTATCAAACATATAAATGGAAACCTTTCCTTCCTATCCAAATCACATATCAAGCTTAATACTGATCTGACTTTGACTATAACTCACGTTGAACTAATGAGACCTCATTTGTGACCCCAACTATCGCGTCCTCTTTAAAAAAAAAAAGATAAGTGAAAAAAAGAGCAAATGGTTGAGAGCAAATGGTTGACACACTTGACTATGCAAACCCAGAATTTACCCCTCTAGAATAGTGATTGCTAGTGGTCCTTCCGTAAGTATGTTGAGGCCATTATGTTGCATCCATTTTGCCATCAACCCCTCTAAACCCAAACTCGAATATGAAATTAGACAAACCATCTAAACTATTTTTAAATTTTTTATGTTTAATCAAAGGTTCCTACTTCTCAATATGAGAAAACGACGTTCATGATCTATCCTTAAATAAAAAGTCCTACAGTCCAAACAAAGAATATACTTACCTGACTTTTACTATACTGCCCACGATGAACAAGTGAAGCCTCATTTGTGACCCCAATTCGTGTGTCCCATTAAAAAAACATAAGTGAAAAAAGAGCAAATGGTTGACACACTTGCCTTTGAGTAGTCATTGCTAGTGGTCCTTCCTTAAGTACGTTGAAGACATTATGCTGCATCCCTTTCCCCATCAACCCATCTAAACCCAAAGTCGGTTATTTTAGTCTTAGGCTTCTACTTTTCAACATGAGAAAAAGAAGTTCATGATCTATCCTTTTAACAGGTAAACAGGTAATTAGATTAAGGAAAAATTCTAAAGAAAGAAAGAAAGAAAAGGTCATGTAGTCCAAATAAATACAAAAACAAAATATACCTTTAGAGCAATTAGTATTTTGGTTTAAGCCTACCTTGTGGTTTAACAGCCACATGCTCTAGGCAACTGAGCCACTCCTTTTTCTGGTTTAAGCCTACAAAACTCGACTTCATGCTCACCAATTCCATGGTACACCAGAGCTTAAAAGATACAATGTCCTCCATCAACATTCTCAGCCACAAAAGTGATACACATCATGAAACCCGCAACTAGCTGTGTACATTTAATTTGAAGGCCTTCAAATACTTGTAATTTGTACCCTACATTTTAAGGAAGCATTTAAATCCAACACAAAAAAATAAATAAATAAAGAGCAAATGAAAAAAATAATACTTATGGAGTATTTTACTACACAACAAACACGCAGGGGCATACATTTTCAGTGTTGTACGAATCTATGGCTAATCCTGACAACAGTTGACATTCTTAAGCCACCCGAAATGACTATCAAAGTTTGTAATTGGTACAATCAAACCACACAACTGGTTATCAGGAAGTTTGTCAACGTCAAAGCCCTGTAGGTACGTGAAGTTAAATAAGAGTCAAAAACCATAAACAATCAGCTTGTTAGATAAGTAAAAATAAAATAAACGCCTAATGTACCTCGCTTTCTTCGAATTGTTTGTCGTACCAACCCACTCTTCTTCGGTCACTTTATTTTCATGCCAATCATCAGAATCATCTCCTTCTCCTTCTACTAGTGGTTCTTGGTTGTCATCCTCCTCATCAAATTTCTATTTTTTCCAGCAACAATTGTTCTTCATCTAGAGGAGATTCATATGCATAACCAATCCCATGCCCGACATCAATAGCATAACCAACCTCATGCCCAGCATCAATAGCATAACCAACCTCATGCTCGACATCAATAGCGCACTCAGTCGTCTCTCTCAGCCTTTACAAGCGAAAACCCTAACACTGTCTGTTCCCTAATCTCAATTTTTTTATAAATTAGATTAGATCACAACTAGAAAAAGGTATTTGTTATAGTTTTAATGGTGTTTTGAGTGATTGGACTTGGATTGATTCCATGCGGCCCACATACCATGGCCCAAAGCCCTGTTCAAATACAAACCCTAACAAAAGGTCCAACTATTTCCTTCGGGACTAGCTAGACAACTGATCTCCTACCTTAATGGATTATTTTGTTTAACAAATTTCTAATTTTTGAGAGATGAAATACACTTTTAGCCTGACATATTTTAGTTTTGACAATTTAATCCCTCTTATTTTAGTTTTGACAATTTAGTCTCAAAATTTTTAAAAGCTTGTTGAAATTTATCAATATTTGACAATTGTCTATATTGATAATACATCTGGACATGTGTCGATTTGAAGGGTAAATTTGGAATCATTTTGTCACCCCCTCACTATCGCCAACTTTGGTAGTGGTTTTAGCAACAACAATGTTAGTTGCTAGTGGGTGGCGTAAGCTACAACTATATTGTGTGGGAGTAGTGCTAAGTTACAAAAAAGAGTAATATATACCTCGCATCCTTTGAATTATTTGTTGTACCTCGCCCACTTTTCTTTGGTCACTTTATTTTCCTGTCAATCATTAGCATTATCTTCTTCTCCTTCTTCTTCTAGTGGTTATTGTTTGTCACCTTCCACATCAAATTTCTGTTTTTTCAGCAATGGTTGTTCTTCTTTTGGAGGAGATTCATATGCATAACCAACCCCATGACTGGTATCAATAGCATAACAAACCTCATGCCCACCATCAATAGCATAACCAACCTCATTCCCGACATCAATAATGCACTTAGCCTTCTCTCTCAGTTTTTACGAACGAAAATCCTAACAATGTCTTTTTTCCAATCTCGATTTTGTTATAAATTAGATCAAATCACAACCAAAAAAAGGTATTTATTTTGGTTTTGTTGGTGTTTTGAGTGCTTCAACTTGGATTGATTCCATGTAGCCCACATACCACGGCCCAAAGCCCTGTTCATATACAAACCCTAATAAAAGGTCCAACTATTTCCTTCGGGCCTAGTTGGACGACTGTTCTCCCACCAAAATGGATTATTTTGTTTAACAAATTTCTAATTTTTGAGAGATGAAATACACTTTTATATGCATAACCAACCCCATGCCTGGCATCAACAGCATAACGAACCTCTATAGCAGCATCAATAGCATAACCAACCTCATGCTCGACATCAATAGCTCACTCAACCACCTCTCTCAGCCTTTATGAATGAAAATCCTAACACTGTCTTTTTCCCAATCTCGATTTTGTTATAAATTAGATCAGATTACAACCAGAAAAAAGTATATATTTCGATTTTGTAGGTGTTTTGAGTGCTTAGACTTGGATTGATTCCAAGCGGCCCACATACCACGGCCCAAAGCCCTATTCATATACAAAACCTAATAAAAGGTGCAACTATTTCCTTCGAGCCTAGCTGGACAACTGTTCTCCTACCCATATGAATTATTTTGTTTAACAATTTTCTAATTTTTTATAGATGAAATACACTTTTAGCCTGACTTATTTTAGTTTTGACAATATAATCCCTCTTATTTTAGTTTTGACAATTAGTCTAAAAATTTTTAGTGGTTGTTGGTTGTCACCTTCCGTATCGAATTTCTAGTTTTTCTGCCATCACCTCTAGAAGAGATTCACACGCATAACCAACCTCATGCCCAGCATCAATAGCACAACCAACCTCATGCCTAACATCAATAGCGCACTCAGCCATCTCTCTCAGCCTTTACGAACGAAAACCCTAACATTGTCTTTTCTCCAATCTCAATTTTGTTATAAATTAGATCAGATCACAACCAGAAAAAGGTATTTATTTTGGTTTTGTTGGTGTTTTGAGTGCTTGGACTTGGATTGATTCCATGCAGCCCATATATCGTGATCCACATACCACGGCCCAAAGCCCTGTTCATATACAAACCCTAATAAAAGGTCCAACTATTTCCTTTGGGCCTAGCTGGACAACTGCTCTCCTACCTAAATGGATTATTTTGTTTAACAATTTTCTAATTTTTTAGAGATGAAATACACTTTTAGCCTGACATATTTTAGTTTTGACAATTTAATCCCTCTTATTTTAGTTTTGACAATTTAGTCTAAAAATTTTTAAAAGCTTGTTGAATTTTTTCAATATTTGACTATTGTCTGTATTGATAATACATCTAGACATGTGTCGATTTGATGGATAAATTTGGAATCATTTTGTCGTCCCCTCACTATCGCCAACTTTGGTTGTGGTTTTAGCAACAACAATGTAAATTGCTAGTGGGTGGTGTGAGTTACAGTTATATTGTGTGGGAGTGGTGCTGAGTTACAAAAAAAGAGTAATATATACCTCGCATCTTTCGACTTGTTTGTTGTACCTTGCCCACCCTTCTTCGGTCACTTTATTTTCTTGTCAATCATCAGTATTTTCTTCTTCTCCTTGTTCTTCTTCTAATGGTTTTTGGTTGTCACCTTCTGCATCAAAATTCTATTTTTCTACCAAGGTTGTTCTTCTTATGGAGAATATTCAGATCCAAAAACACCCTTAGCCGTTGCACCAGGTTTGGCTGCCATCTTTTTCTCCCTCTTTGGCTGCTTCAATTTCTAAAAACTAATGTGTAATTTATTGACTTCATTTAGCCCTAGATAGATTGTAGACACTACTTGACTTGATGTCAATCCAAATTGACAATGATTACAATGAAACTAGATCATCTTCCTTTCCCAAATTTAAGTAAAAAAAGATAAGAAGTTTGATTTGGTATAAATCTCTCCAATGGACAATATTTTTTAAATAATGAGAAATCTAAATTTAAATGTGGTCCAATTCAAATTTAAATAAAGATGTAATATGACCATTAGATAGAATTAAATTTAATTATTGGTGAAAAGGATAAGGATTAACTCTACATACAACAAATACATGATGCAAACCTTATTATATATTGGATTGAAAATATTTGAGCATGACAAAACATAAAATAAATCCAACAAGATATGACTTATTAATAGTCCTAATTACATTTAATAAAATGACTTAAGTATCTGAAAACACTCTGCAATATCAAAAATCGAGTGTAACATTTATATTTTAGATAATAATTTATTTATTTTTAATTATGTATTTTAAAATTAAAGTAAACAAAAAAATAAGAGATGTAAGAGAGGAAGAGGAGAGAGGTAGGTATAGTTTAATGAGGTTATCTGAAATTGACAAATTTGTTGGTTGATTTTTTTAACATTGGGGATCATGTAGAGAAATAAGATGTTATTGGCAGGAAAAAATAAATTTGAAATAAATTTTATACCATTAAATCAAAATAGATAAAAAAAAAATTGAATCAATTTGAATCGTTGTTGTGTTTCTATAAATTAAGAATTTAATTTTTTAACCATAATATAAGATAAATTTTATAACAAGGTGTCTCTTTCCTTGTCTAGACGCTGGTGACTTTTTACTCTAAATTTTCAGCTCGATTTTGATATAGTTAATGTAATACACTTTTGTAGAGATTGACATCTTTTTCAAATGTTGCATGAATTAACTTAAATCAGAGACATTGAGAGTAAAAAGTTATAGTCAAAATATTTAAGTAGTATCAACTTTATTCTTTCCCAAATTTTCTCAAAAAAATGTGTTTAAGCCCTAGAATACCTCCCAAAGATTTTTCAGCCCTCCAAATCTTTTTTTTTTTTAATGTTATTTTTACCAAAAAAAACCTTTAGAATTTCAGTTACTTAATTTCTTGTAAGAATGATTACCCCCAAATGTCAATGTTAAGTCAATTAAAAATCTCAATTATTCTTACAACATTAATCTTGTTTAAAAAATTAAAACATATTTAATTTTGTGTCAATTAAATAATATATTTTGTATTAAAATAAAATATATAAGGTCTTATAACCAATTGCAACAATAGCCCATTCACATCAAGACTGAAATTGTGCCTAGAATGCTACACATACCATCCAAATTGCGAGCAGAGACATCTGCGCAAATAAGAAAGGATCTCATTAAGAATTGGCAAGACATTTAAAGAAGACATAGACAAAAAAGGCGCAAAGAGGCCGACGTACTTGTCGTTCTCCAATGCAGGGGGCACCTCGGACCAGCATACTCGGGACCGGTTCCTCTCTCCCAGGCCCCACTGAAGACCAACAGGTCATTCTTGTACCCCTTGTCTGAATCAGGGAGGTAAGTCACTAGATACATGGATGGGTCCCTAGTCTTGAGATATAAATTTTGTTGGGGCATCACCCTCAGCAAGGAATAACATAAGAGAATGTCATCGAGACCAAGATTGATCCCGAGACGCCTGTTGAGTTCTAAGACCCCCATTACTATCCTAAAGACATTCAGGTTGCTCGAGGACGAGATCGAACAGGGAGAGGAATTGAAGGAGTAAAGGGGGCAAAGAGAATTTTATCCCACCATCTATAATAGCCTTGGTGTAGAAAGGGATTGCATTCTCGATCCTGACATCACGATTATGCCGAGTAGATTTAAATTCCTCTATACCAACATTACTGGGTATGCGATAACGGGCTTTAAAACTCTCTATCTGCTGATCCCCTTGACCTTGTATTTCCCGGACCTCGAGGGTTGGATCTCGGTGTCAAGGCGGGCCCTAGGCATCTCTCTAAAGGAAATGAGGATTTCTCCCCCTAAAAAGGTCCTAAGGAGTTTTTCAAACCACTGGGGAGATTGATGGGGACGAGGAAGACCACCAGTCACCAAAAAAACCAGAAGGAAGAAGGAAAAGGAAGAAAGAGAAAGCAAGGACTCACCATAGAACTAAGGAAAGGGTTTGGAAGCTTAGAAGGACTCGTTTCGTCGTCAAAGGTCTGGTGGCAATGGTGGCGCAAGTGTTTTTGCTCTGATGATGGCTGGAAAGGCGGTGATGCAACTGGTTATCTGAGGAGTTTTTCAACGAAAGCTCTCATAAGTTCTTCACATAAACTAAAGAGTATAAAAGAGAAGGGGGTTCAGTTTATATAATAACTGTCCCCATCATTGTGCACGAAACACTAAAAGGCGCATTCAATGCGCACAATCTCCAAAGCGATGAAAAACAGCTATGAGCAATGATGAGGTGGTTCAGACATTTATAAAACCCTTTGCCTTCTAACGACACGTCTCCCCTGCGTCAGAAGATCAAAAGGCTGGGGGCAGTTGATGGGACATTTCTGGAAAGGAGACAGATCGACGACACGTGTTCTCGACACTATTATGTTCCCAGCCAGAAATGGCCACGTGTCCTCAGCGTCGCTCGTCCCCATCTGCCAAGGCGATAATGCTCAGAGCCGAGGGACCCCCCAATCGGAGTGATTGACACATATATCCTCAGCTCGGTGAAAACCCTTTACCCCAAAGTAGGCAAATATAAGTTGGTGCCGAGGTGTTCCTTCTGTACGCTAGGTCCTACCCCTCTTTTGTTTCCATAAAAGCTAGTGATTGACAGATGACTAGCCTAGGCCATGCTAGGCTAGTCATCATGAAGACGCTCTGCTCAATGATGTCAAGAGGCGCAGGAATGCAAAACGTGTAACCAAGGAGGAGTGGATGTGTGGAATGAGATATCAAATCAGTAGCAAAAAGACCTGGATACCCCTGCTAACACATGACTAGAGCAAGTGAGCATTTAATAAATCCTCCTCCTGATAGACAACAATTAAGGCATGGGGGCCGAGAAATGAAGTGCATTAAAAACTCACATACTTGGGCATTTAATGCATCCTCGCCGAGAAGAGAGAAATAGAATGCTCGACAGACCGAGGAGTGTGCTTTAAATGCTCGACATCCTGATCAGTTAAAGTCAAACCCATTCCCCATAAAAGTGAGGGGCACACTGCCCCATCTCTAACAAATAGCCGTTGGATGGACTATCAGCAATCATGAGCTTTTGAAAGTATAAATAGTTCTCAAAAACATATTGCAAAGGTATGCAAGAACTTCTGAAAAGAACCGCAGTGCTTTCTTCTTCCCCTCTCTCAAAGAACTGACTTGATAGTCAGAGGGGATATGCTGGAGAGCACTCCGGCACCCTTCTAACTTATTTTTCTTTGTCATAGGTTCCCCCACAGTCTTCTAGGACCGGTCAAGCGACCCAACAAATAATTCATCACCGGTCTTTAGGGTTCCTTTGTCCCTCTCAACTTATTTCTTGTTGCCAAAATCCACGTTCAAATGGGTCAAATCTTAGCCCAAGTCGATCGGATATGATGAAAGCAAAGCTTCATTGCTGCCTAGATTCCTTTTGTCTCGCCTAACCTATTCCCGTTTTTCCAGAGATACCATCTTGACGAACCAGAATTCATCTTGGAAGAAATTTGTTCCTACTTCAACTATTGTGCAAAAACTTGCACGCACAATAGGAAAAGTGGTCATAGTTGCTTGTGGGTGGTCTTTTTTCATCATCTTAGCAGAGTGTTCCATTCTTACGCTCAGTAACATAATCAAACTCCTCAAAAAAAAATGAGCAGCTCATTCATCAACCAATCCAACCACGGCAACTAATATCTGAAAAATAAGAACGGGAAAACAAAAAGGGAAAGAGTATACCACTACTGCTACCACCATTTATCCCATCAAATACAGAAATTACTATTTGAGCAGAGAAAAGTGACAACAGGACTTTGATAACCAAACACTACCTGAGGAAATTTCTGAAGAATCCCAAGTTCCGTATGGCATACAGATCAACTGTTACAGTCTCAAAGACAATAGTTAAA